ATGATAGCTTTTGATTTCGGCTGAAAAACCTGTTTCGGTCAGACACTAGTTACGGATATGGAGCCATAATATCCCTGATATTAAGTCAAGGGCAACGCTTGTTTATGGCAGATCGCAACTCTAAAGATAAAAAGTACATCTAACATAATCAGCAGTAGCTTTGCGTTTCAATTGTTTTAAATTGTTAGCAAAATTCTCGAGATGAGTAAAAGTAACAAAACCCACAAAACTGCTTTGTACGAGTAACTTATCAATTGACTTAAATCCAGTATATGTAGAAATGCGGTAGTTAACGGGTCGGATTTACATAAAATGGCGCTCCCACGACGCAAGGTGAACTAGCTATTCTTAAATTGTCGCTGCAGAGCCCAACGTGAGTGAATCGTGTTACGTATGTTACCTACTAGGCAATACCCAATCATGTTGTATCTTGTGGTGATGGTCCTCTAAAAAATTTGCGACTAAAAGACACATACCAATGTAGTACTGCAACAAATGGACTATGTAAGAAAAGAAGACTATTAGACGTAAATACCACTTTTAACCGACTGTAAGTTTGAACCCTATTTTAAGTTTGAAGAAATAGAAAGAGAAGGTAAAAGATAACAGTTCGGTACTATTCATCATGATGTAGTCGATCGATAAGACGACAATACTTTTTGAAAGTGAATTTTTATCTTCTATTAGTATGTAAGTATCTCACTAGTCTTTTTAAACCGACCGATACTTTCACCATGTCAATAGGCTAGGACGCCAGCCTATGAAAATACAGATCAATCACAGGAAGAACGAGTTTCAGAGGAAATAAATCATAAAGTCACTAGTAGTAATTTGAATTTTATGTAAACACCCGCAGACCAATAGTTACGTTACGAGAGTTCGTTCAGTTTTTGTTAACCTTTTTTATTTGCGGTTAGCTTAGAGCATTGACGTCTGACTTTTCTTCATTTAATTAATTAAATGTGTATACGCTCTAAGGGTGGAAAATTAAGGAATAAAGGACATAGTTTATTACAATTTATCAATGTGGTTATGATTTTTTTAATGAATGATTTATTAGATCTCGTTTAGTGGATCAAGGTCAATTAAATCTGAATTAATGTAAACGTAATTAATAAAAAGAAACACGATATACGCACACAACGCAATATAACCCGTGTTACAACAATTAGAATGTAGAACTTGTAGGAGGACATTTTTTAAATAATTCAGTTTTATTGGTTTATCTCTTAAAGATAGATTTTATTTAATAAGTGTTTCAAGGTCAAGTCAAAAAGGTTTTACATAATTTAAAACAGGTGAAGCCAGATAAAGCCTCATTCGACTGGCACAGCGGGGATCGCGGGTATAATTCCCGCTCATGTTTCTTTGTATACCTAATATGCACCTTGTACCTACTTATAAATTTACAAAATGATGTCTAAGTGTGTTTGTCTGAGTTCTACATAACCAGTAACTAAACTGTTTAACTAGTTCTAGATTGAGCTGTGTAATGTGTCCCAGGATCATTAGAAATGATTAAAATGAGTGAAGACTATGCCACCGTGCAAAAAAGCATTTAACTGACCCATACACTATAAACAAGCAAAAAAAAATGTAAAATGTAATTAACAATTAAATCTATAAATATTTTGGCATCTATTTATGACACCTTACATAACTTTTACAGTTTTGTCTAAATATTTAAGGAGAGAATTCTCGGTAAATTACTCAAGTATGAAAATAGAATATAAATATAACAATTGTTTTACTGTTATCTATTGATTCGATCTGTTCAATCAATTTATAGAAAATACTGATTTTTGATCAAACAATATACAAATATTCAAAGACCAACGAGTTTAAATGTGAATATTAATATGGTAAATTATTACAACCTCCTTGAATCGCCTTTGGATGAAAATGTAATCGAAGTTCTATGATAGGATAAGTGTTTGTATGATGTATTCGGTGTTAGTCATATTAAAATGTCTATAACTGTATATTGAGGAATATCTAAGTTCATATTTGATTAACATAAGATTATCCACTACTGAATATTCTATTATTCGCACTGAAACTAATATTCGCTAGCATATAAATTGTAACATTTTATTGTGTTTTAATTTTATAATTATCTATTATTATTAAATTATATTATTAAAAATATATTTTTCATAGAGAAATACACCCGTCATACATTAATTACATTATTTTTGCGGCGAACTTCAGTAAATCTAGCAGCTTGCGTTCGCTGTTGTTTCTTCCGATGTCTTTAACAATCATCGTCCCAGTTCATCAAACTTATACAAAACCTTAAAGAGTAATGTATGAAAAACCGTTGGTACTCTTGGAGTTTATCGTGTTCAGATACACGTAAAGATAGATAGACGTGACGTAGAAATTTACTTATAATTTGTATATAATTATTATTGTATTCATAAAGTTCATATATAGATAAAAATAAATAAAGAGCCTTGAGAAAATTAAATGTTAAATCTGACTATGCTATTTGTAATTGTTTTATTTTGATTGTTTTAAATTCAGAACCTAAAGAATAAAAGTAAATCGTTTGACTATGACAAGCTTTAAACGCTTTGACATACAGTAAAGATAATTTGATCAGACTTGAACAGTCACATTGATCAACCTTTATCAATTAAATTATTCCTAACGTGCTCAAAAAAAAAACTAATATTACTGAGAAGAAATCATTCTGTTATAATGCAATTTGTTTGCGGAATATGTAATCAATTTAATTATCGATATCCTAAATAATTTTCCTGTGTCAGTAAACATAATAACCGGACGATAATGAGGGTCATTTACTTGAACATTTACTGTACAAGAAAAAATACTAAACAGACGCTAAACCTGAAATATTGCAGGTAGAAAAATAGAGTTTAATTTTTTAGTTCAAACTTAGAATTAATAAGGTAAAAGGACGTCTTAAACGTCTCAGTAAATAGATATCATACACGTACAATTGAATTTTAAAATTCGAATGTCTTGACACTAGATGATAAAGGTCAAATTAGACTTAGATTAGATTTTTTGATACAAATGATACATGCCTTGAACCAATTTAACAGTTTGGTTAAAAACTCTACTGAGAGAAATCTAGGAATTTATGAAAACAATGGCATATTAAAAAAAAAAACATGTCGCTATTTTTTCACAAAACACTTTCAATACTTTTTTCAAGTACTAAAGTACTAAATTTTATCTGTGTACCTATTAGAAATGTATTTCTCTCTATTTTGGATACTGAACGACTGATGAAAAGTAATGAACGACACAGATTTAATTTATGTGTCATTCGAGACTTTTGAGCAGCAGATCAGCGATAAAATCGCGATGAAGTTATTTATTTGTTTTAAATCGATTTCTTGTTAATACAAATATTAATTCGTTTAATTGTACCAAAATATAATTTTGTAGATGAGCTTAGAGGTTTTGACAGAGGGTTCTTTTTTTTCCCAAGGAAAATAGGAGTACAGTTGAAAGTCATGTGCGATTTAATTAATTAATATAAATACACTACTTTAATGTTGACGTCTAGCGAATTTTTATTTAGCTCTCTCGAAATTTGTTTGTATAAGAAGTGGGTCTTAACTGTAGTATGACTAATTAGCAAGTGTAGCACAAAATCGTCAGCGTGAAGCCGAAACACATCGCTTAAAAAATAGGTCCGTGAGTAAACTGCTGTCGTGACCAATATCCAAGAACACTCCAGCATTCGTGAGAAAATCATACCCTACGATCGCACACGTTATTTTAATTAGATCGCTCTTAATAAATAAAACAGCTCAAGGCCTTTGAACAAAACTATTAACACGCAATTGATCGGCGGTTGCATCTATTCAAAACAAATATAAATTTTTACGATTCCATAAAAAAAAACAATTTTATCACTTTTTGCATCATAAATTCGACACGTATATATCACTTCACATATGCAAGTCACGACGTCCACAATTAACACCTATACGACAAATGTATAGTAGGACAGATTTATTTAATACATTTAATTCGTTTCGTGATACTCGCTGTTGAACATGAGCGAGAAGGCCGCGCGTCGGAAGCTGGGAACAGAACTAAACTGCTAAGCTATTGTATGCAGGTGGATTGTAGTACGTCCGTTTGCTTTATTATGGCCATTTTCCATTCACACAGTGGGGCAATCGGGCCGCTACTTCAGTTTGATAAGTGTCGCTGTGTGTCCCCTACGGTAGCGTTTCGGTAATTTCTCGATCACATGCCAAGGTGATAAGTAATCAGTGTTGCGAATCAATGTTTACACTTCGTGATCTGCGTAAATGGTGTAAACCGCGGATTCTTAGCGCTATTTCTTCACTTATTTTATCAATTTTGTTGCATGTAAAAACTGATTTGGCATTCTGAACCTATTGCTGACGTAAGAACTGTATGTATTTATTTTATTTCTTTCTTCATGCACTTATGTACATCGGCAGCCTTACGTATTTACGTGCTGTTAGTTTTTAGTATTTTTTCATGATGTCCCTATTTGAAAAAATTATGCACAAACCTTATGTGATTTTAGCTAGAAAGATATTGCGATTAGTGTTATTTTAGTGAGTGAGTATCAATAAATACTGCAAGTCAATCGTTGTGGTAAGATACGCTCTTTACTTGAAGGTCATATCGGTCTGGATATACCGCAGGTGACCTGCGATATTTCCTGACAGATGGTGTAGTGCCAATAATCTAAATGACGGGAATGGAAGTTTTGTCTAAAATTCCTTCTTTGGGTAAAAGCGAAAATGAATTTACTATAATTAACGTTATCAGAAATAAATACTTAGGCACTGTAAAATTTCAGAACAATTTGTATTTATGTATGTATTTCATACCCACTCAAAATTTATTTTCTCCCGTTAGTTCCTATTTCTAGTAACCATTATACAAGCTATAGCTAAATAGTATTGTATAATATGCATTCATAATTATTATCATTACTATTAGTAAATAAACGAAGATTATTTATAGTAAATACATACGGTGGCTAAAACCTCCTCGTAAGTGGCAGCAATGAGCGGAGGAGACGCGGGTGGCGTCTCGCGAGATATGGCTGTTATCGGCATTTCAACGCATTACTGGACTACTGTGAACAATAATGTACACGTATATATATGGTTTGAAACTGCTGTCAAACTGTCAGAACAGTTTTGCAAGGTTTTGTAATTAAAACTATGTACCTATGGTGTTAATAAACTTTAAAAACAATGTGAGTTTCATTAGCATTAATAAAATGAATTACTTAGAATATGCTGCGGGCCTGAAAATATTCTGACCAACAATAAATAATTAGATTAAGTATAATTTAATGTATCCTATTTTAACTTATAATTATATTATTTACCTTTCAAAGCCTTTTTGAAAGCATTAATAAAGAACTTTCGCAATTTCAATATTAGTTAGAAAGTTATGATTACACTCATCAATAATAGATTCAAATGCAATTAAATATGATTTGCCTTCCTTACAGACAAAAATTGATTTACGCATAAAATCAAGTAACACATCATTCTATTCTACGCGTATTCTTTTTTTTTTTTTTAAATTAAAACAGGAGCTCAAAAAGTTCCAAATCACATCAGTGTTTGTTTTAGACGTTTCCTTACAAAATATGTACGAATATAAACTAAAAATTAAAATTATTGTAAACTAATATCATAAAGGAATTTGATAATTCATAAGTAGTTGAATTTATTACCTTCGGATTTCAATTTGGATAATGCACATGTATTTCCTCCCTTTTTACAAGCGTTAATGCAATAATTGTAACATTATAATTTTGTAATTAGGTGTTTACTTATTTATCTATTATATTATATTTACGAACAAATACTCATAATAATGAAAGAATGATATTATGCTTTATTTTGTACTTCAGTAGTGAAGTTTTTCACCTTTCCAAGTATGTTAAGGTAAAAAACGGCGTGAAGTCGTGAAGTCCGAAAGAAGTGTCGGAAAAAAGTCTTGCTACGATTTTTCAGTGTCACTCTCATCCGCTCAGAGCGTGTAACGCGCGATAATGAGCTTCCTTCCAAAAGTGAACGTATAGTGGTTTTGTAAGCTTGACAGACCTCCAGTGGCTTGTTTGCATCGTATCGTCACTGATAAACGGTTGTACAAACAGCAATAATTTAATTAAAAACTAGCGTACGATATGTTTCGATCGCGTGAGTAAATTTGTAGATATACCATATATAGCTTGACCTTTGTCTATATTTACTTTGCCTTCGTGCAAAATGTAGTTTTTACAAGTAATATAATATATTCATATTATTCCTCAACTCAACATTATCTACTGCTGGTATGGAAGGATCTTCAGTTAAGGATCTTCAAGTAAAGTTTTCCTTCTCATGTTATCATCTTTTATTATCTTATAAAAAGACAACTCCTGCATTGAGATTATATTCCTGTGTCGCGGGGGACTTTACAAACATACATTAAACGGACACAAAGAACACCCATACTCGGAACAACAATTTTTGGATCACACAAATTGTTGTTCCATGCGGGGATCGAACCCACAACACTCAGCGCAGTAGAAAGCAACGAGGTGAACCGTAGTGGTTTAACCATCCGTGAAGTGTTTTTATAAAATATTATTGTTTTAGTTAGTTTTTAGTTTGGTTTGTTAGTTTGGTAGTTGTTTTGTAAAATAATAACCAAATGGTTATTATTTTACAAAACAACTACCAAACTATCTAAAAAATAGCCAGGTCTCTCATAACAGCAGTATAGGCATCTCGTGGTTTAAAAGAATGGATACAGTCGTGAACGAAGAACGAAAAGTTTTAAGCTTTGTACGGGAGTAAAGGCTAATTTTTTATCCATTTCATATTCTGGAGGTACGTTTTGCAGATGTAGATATACTATACTAGTATTGAAAGGGTGTTGCCCTTTAAGTTTGTATTATTAGGTCCTTACCTATGAAGTTAGTGATTTGTATGAAAATTTTAAAATATAATATTTATTTTATTTTAGCTAATCAAAGTACTGGCCCTTATTATTTACACAATAATAACAACAATGTAAGTTACAGCTAATTCGGAATATCTTTGATCAAATGTTGGTGTACTTGGTATGTTGGTTCATAATAACACCTGACCTTCGAGAACAGTGTCGATGTGACAACTATGTAAATACTCATTACCATATTCGAAGACACCATGACTATGCGGACGTAAAGGATGTATTATATTAACGTACTAGTTTATAATAATAATAATATATGGTTTTAATAGCCAATTAAAGCTAGAACAATAAAAGTTTTTTGAGTGTTAGAACTGCAAAACTAGTGCCCGAAAAAGAAGAAAAAAAAATACATTATATTCAAGGCGTTATAGATGGTGTTTATATTTTAGAGGCCTTAGACAACAAATAATCAAGTTAATGTGATCAAACTCAGCTTGATAAATTGCAACTTCATTCCCCCCCAAGTTATTTTTATCGTGAAACTAATTAAGGATAATTAATGAATTAATCAATAGCTTGTTCAAGGTCGTTTTTAGTTACAAACTAATAATCGAATCAAACACTAACTGTCTTAGACGCATATGTAGATGTGCATGATATTCCACTATTCAATAACCCAAAAACAAGTTAATGACTCTCTCTAGTGTTTCGATATGTCATATCGCACTCACAAGAAGATTTCAGAAGCTAGTTGTCCTGGTCACCTGTCCCAAAACCTGACCGTTTGAGAGAGGAATGGCCGCATTATATTAATACATAAGTATTCTAAATTTAAAATAATAAAATATATTATAATGATATTCTGCACGACACCAGAGGTCGTTGGCATCGATATCCGCTGTAATCGAGTGATTTGATATATCGATTGTGACAATACTGACATGTTAACAATAAAACAAAAATAAATTTGTACAAAAAATTCTTATTAGTAATCTGGCTTTGTCGTGTTCGGTTACAGAAGCGGATAAAATCTTAAAATATGACAGCTTATTTTTAGAAAATAAAAAAGACTAAAAGATCGATTTATCAAAGTGAAATCTTTATATGTATTGACAATACAGTTACTAAGTAACTTAATTTCTCAAATAGGTATTGTCTTACTCATAAAGAGTATAAAATAATTTTGCAATTAGAATTGTATCTGAAGCCGTAAATGTGTTATGTGTTACTTACGTATAATTTCTTTATAGCACCTATGACGAAGTAATACATAAGTGCACTTATCATCGTCATCATGCACAGAAACTAGACAAAACATTCATACAGATGATAATGGAGCGCTAAGAATGTTTAATGATAAACGTCCCTAGACCTCAAAATCCCTTATAATGCTTGAAGTTTCACTCCCGATTCGTTACGTTTTTTTTGCATTGTCTTGCCGTAAAACGAATACTAGTGACAGAACTGGTATTGCTATGACTGTAAGTTTAATTTGGTAACATGTTTTACTCCTTTATAAAGTTTTTGTTTTTAAATGCTAACGATTTTTTTTCCTATTTATTATTAGTGACTTTTCCTCTTTTATAATTTTATGCTGTCAACAAGTCCTTAAAAGGACATTAAGTACAAGCGATAAACTATGCTACTACAAACACCAACAAAAGGAGGTTGCTCTGTTATACTCCCTACTTAGTACTGTTAGTAAGAACTCTGTGTGCTATATAACTTTGTGATGAAGTTAGCGTATCGTCTACAGAAATAATACAGATATTTTATTAAAAAAATTACAAAATCAATTATCAGTAACCGTCTAATCCTACATTTAATCATTAAATTATCACTACTATAAACTGTTTTCCTTCTTTAGGCATCATTAACCCACTGACTAACGGATATCTATAAAGTCGTGCGGTGTATCGCCAGATTATACCACGTACGATTGACCTCGGCATTGTATAATAAAATAAAATATGTATAAAATGTCCATATTAGGAATTTAATATGACTTAAATTAATGGCTGTTTATTTCGAATGATGACTTCTTGTTTATATCATTATCTTAAATATCTACATAAGACATAAGTATCTCATAGATTATTTAGGACCATAACACATTAAATTAAGATTAAAATCTTGTTCTTTAACAAATAATCATTCCACACATAGCTATCATAGTCTAGAGACGTAGTTGTACACCCGCATTGCTAAGTGTTGGTGTTACTACTAAAAGGAAGTAAAAATCCAGTACATGAAAACATCTAAGCAGTTTGGCGTCTAGAACGTCTTTATTTTTATCTCTACGGTGTAATGTCACAAAACAATAAGATTTTTAATTAATAACTCAGAACCATGAAATAAAATTATTTGACGTCCGAATAACGTGTCTTGATTTCACACGCTTCTGCCATTTTTGTCACCCTCAGATCAATTTTTCTTCACGTTTTTTCATTTTCTACAAACCTTGCACATTAACTTATCGAACTCACTTCCCAATATTCCTGTAATTCTTTCCTTTCAATAATCATATATGGTATGATTATTGATAAGAAAGAAGTAAAATGATAATTAAGGAAAAAAAGAAAGAAAACTGATGACCAAATCTCTAATTGTTAAGTACAGACCGCCATTTTTGCATTCTTCATGTACGTATTGTACAATTTAGTTACTCTTTTCACAGAATCTTCTCATTACAAAGTAGATCATGCTTCATATAGAGATTTAATTGCAGATTTCAGTTAACCTCATGTATAGACATGGGAATCTCGGAAAACTAAATTAATGGCAACGTGGTTGCTTTAAAATTTTGTCACAACTCGATAGTGATCATGACATTCTGCGCGTGATGACAGCCGGAAACGGCACACATACTTCATCGTATACTGTGGGTATGAAACGTTTATATATGTCAAATTAGATTCTGTTAACATACAGATTATGTAATCTTCTTGGAGTCTAATCTTCACATATATAAATATATTAAGTTGGATTGTATACGCTCAAAAACGCATCAAAACTCCAAAATTTTGTTAAGATAATAATACACAAACCGCTGCAAAGATTGTTTTTATCTATTTTTCGGGTCAGTTTTATTTCTTTACTGTTGTCAATGTAACCACATTGTGCCCCAGCGAAACGTGGCAGGGTTAAATCTAGTAGC